CACGTAGCCGGCCGCGGGGGTGAGCTTCTCTCGTTCCGAGTCAGGAACAACCCCCCGTTTCTCCATCCCCACGCTACGCTCTGTATCCCGTGCGGCTCTCGCGCGCCGGCTCCGACCGGTGCCGGCTTAAATACGCGACCGGTGACGGAAATTAAGAGTGGACCCGCGCGATTCCATCGTCATACTCGGTCTGGTTTCCTTTTTTCTCCATCCTTTTCTGATTCTTGTTCTTCTTCTTCTTCTGCCGCCGCTGCTGCTGCCGCTGCTGCTCTTCTTTCCCGCTTTTGTTGCGGCGACGGGGTACAACGATTCTCGCGACGCGCTGCGGCGACGGTTGCTCGGTGTCTTCTGAACGAGCAGCCTTTTGAAGCATCCATTCGAGAAATAGATTCCTATGCGGATCATCTCGTGTTTTAGGGAATGGAGAATGGATGATATTTCGGATGCTTTGTTTCTGGATTCGATAGGGCCGTGGTACTGATGATTAGATTCTATTTTTAGAGAAATCTTCACTGTTTTAGAGTTATTATTTTATACTAAAGAAAAACAATAATACTGTTTGCATTACACCATTGTCGACTTATTTACATTATCAAACATTTTCATTCGACATCGGTTGTCTCACGTGTTACGACGATTTCGAAGAAATTCGAAAGCGTCGGTCATCGCGCTTAACGTGTTAAGGAAGTTAAGAGTCTACAATATTAGTAGATCACAGTAGTTTATACAAACTTAGCTTCTCGTAGAGTACAGACTCTACGAACTCATGAAATCTAATGCCAAAAGTTCCTAAAGTAACAATATGGAATCGATTATAACAGTATCAACCTTACTAACATCGTTCGTATTGAAAAATCAAATTTCCAGAGACCGCTGACAAGTATCCTCCATCGAGAAACAGAGCAATTCGAGGACATTTAGTTTCGAATGCAGGATGCTTAATACGATCCCGGTCTCCCGATGAAAGACACTATTGAAAGCGGTGTTCTCCGAGTCGCGCCCCTCGAACAGAGCGATCCCCGGGCCACAGGCGGAGGCTAACGAGTCCGAAGGGGCTCCTTCAGCGATCCTTTCAGAGTCAAGTTGACAAAACGCGGTAGGTGCGTGGCATAATGGGCCGGTCCGCTCGCAGAACCAGCCGGAAGGCCACAAAAGCGTCTGAAAGCGGCTGGTTTTCGTCCGGGGGCTTGGAAGTGACGCGAAAGTAGGAAAATGATTACACGGCCACCGGCAGAAGGGTCAAACGCGTCGGTTCCTCTCGCGAGGACGCCGAGGAGCGGTGGAAAATTTCTACAAAGCAGACGCGGACGGCCCCACATGCGCCGGTATTTACGTGTCTCCCTCTGTCAGCCCTCGCCTCTCGCCGGGTAACGAGAAACCGTTGGCCAACCCCTCGAGGAACGGAGAGGGTAGCGGCGAGAGTGCGAGGCCGGCCGAAGATACCGGACCAGTTTCGACCAATTCCGATCGGGCCGTCGAGAGATTGTTCGGCGGACCGCTGGGTGTGAAGTTGTCGAGGGTTGATCTCGAACCGGAGGGGCTTTGTCTTTTTAATTCCCCCGCAACCCCTTGTTCTGTGACTTCTATCGTAATTGAGCTACGATCGAACTCTGTCGTTCACCCTTTGCATGATTTATTTCTGAACGATCGGTATAACTTCAATCATCTAGTGAAGACAGAGACAAATTCTATGGATTCTATATCTACCTTTGCGTTGAATATGAAAATCGATATAGGAGAAACAGTGTTTCTAGGTGAATTCCGGAATCCTCAATTCGTCGGTTTGTTGGAAGTACCAGGGAAGGTACAGACTGGAAAATTTCTGGATTCTACCGAGATCCTATCGCAAAGAGATCTCCCCTGTCGCGGAGCAACATTTTTTATCTAGTCGACGAATTGGAGCCCACATACGAACGGAAATTGATACAGGCGCCATACCTGCGCGAATTTTTGTGAGTGCCACGTTGTACACCGATTGCATCCATTCGAGCCAATCGTATCTGATACAGTTGACTGTCGGACTACGACTAATAAAAGTATACACAGGCGAAATGTAGAACGATCACAAATCCGTTCAGCAAATAAAGGCATTAAACCGTACTCAAATAATTCCCACTTCGCCCATCTATCCCTTCAATCACACAAGCCTCAGTTTCCTCAAACATCCCACAAGCACGCTCATTAAAACCTAAAAATCACAATCACACATCTCAATACTCTACCCATTCGACAAAAGAAAAACGCTAAATACCTCGCCAGCATCGCGTTCCGGTAAATCCTGCTGAAAACCGCTCGGGCCGATCGTCGGCCGCTTAAGAGATTTCGCGCGAGGGCGCCTTTCGCCCGGAATTTCGCCGATCACGTCGAACGCACCGGTGCATCCCCCCGGAACACTTTTTCCCGGTGCGTAGCGCAACATTACCGAGGACCGCCGAGAACCGGCCGGTCCGCCTTGTGTTGTCCGTATTTTACTTTGTGCGCGGTGCGTAAGAGGATTATATCCTTCGGGGGTGAGAGAACGAGAAAAAGGACGAGGAAGAGCAGAAAGAGAGAAAGAGAGAGAGAGTGAGAGAGTGATGGGCTAGCTTGCGGGAACGATCTCCGTA